TCTATGTTACATTTTCTAAAAATAAATCAGTTTATAATAATTGAAAGAAATACTATTAAACTTGCTCTTTCATAATCTGTTAATAATCTGTTGATTTGTTCAAAGTACATTTTTACTAAAAATTAGAAATTTATGACTATATAGAAATTTAATTTTTATTGGTTTTTAGACCATTATGTTTGTAATGTTTGTATGAAGATATTGCAAACAAATATCCAGAAAGCCAGCTGATGCTATGTTGGTGCAAATCTTATTATTAAATATATTCAGAATCACCATTACTATATTTATTCATGTAATTTGTTAATAGCAATATTATTTTTTTAAAGATACCAACTGCAACTTTGATGATGGTTGTAACCACCTTTACATCATATAAAAATGATTGCAACACCTAGTTGTAACTGCCTTGCAACAACTTTGTTGGATTGCAAGCATGGAGCACTAAAGTAGTTCGGTATGAAATGTAAGCATAAAATTCCAAATAAATTATTTACAAAGGTGGCTATTGATTCTAAAACTATTATAATCATTATTTATTTTTACTATATGGATCTTTTATTTATTATTTAACAGAATTGGCAAGGAAATTTATATGGTATTATTTCAAATTCTATTTTTAAAGATTAAATGAAGTATTTTGTTCGGATGAATGGCAGCTTAATAAATTATTTAATATTAATAACGAATAAAAATCATTATTAATATAATAATATGTTATATATTAGTTAAATAGCATCTTTGACATTGCTTGATCTTGGGTAAGCTTGTAGAAAAGTTAAAAATGCACATATTATATAATTTTGGAAATTATATGACCAATTAATAAAGCTCCCGCCATGTTTTCTTGTTTTTCTTTTCCTAAATATAATAATAAAAGATCATTATTTTTTATTCAACGAAAAGATCTGCACAGAATTTAGCCAATTAGAATTTCTTTTCATGACGTCGATCATTACAGGGTATTATCCCTGGTTGAATTTAGCCAATCAGAATTTCTTCTAGAATTTTTCATACAATCGATCATTACGGTATTTAGTATTTCCATCTATGGAAACTGACATATAACCCATAAAATAAGAAACTTAACAAGAAAAAAGTTGAATTAACAACTGAAAAAAACTTGTTAAGAATAGTGATAAATGAAAAAAAATAAGGAAATAAAAAATAAAAAAAAGAAAACAACCAAAAAATAAATGAAAAAAAACTTTAATCAAAATTTGCATCTTTGTTACACATTATGAAAACATATAAAACATGATTAGTAATTTCATTTCAACAGATTTTAAATGAAAATTTCTTATATGTCCAGCCACACTGTTGAAATGAGGGTTATACTTTAAAGCCTATCCATTTTCCAAAAGTGACCCATAATTTTTTGTTAAGATTTGATTCCTCATAGATTTCATCTTTGTTGGTTATTTCTCTGTTGATCAATTTGAGAAAATCTTGAGGAATCACATATGAACCAAGATTATCATTGAGGTCTCAATGAGTAAATCTTGAGTGGATACATCTTGTTGAGTCTTGCTTTCTTTTGGTGATACACATCTGAAATACAGATGGGAATGCTTGTCCATTCCTTTTCAAGATAATAAATCTTATCATCTGTGCACAGCCCTCAAGTTCCAGATTGGGTTTGATGCTAAAAATAGTTTGATAGTCAAATTTTGAGAAATATATTATAATAAAAATATAACAGAATGGGTTAATATATTGTGCCAAATCTAGTAGTCAAACATTTTTTGTTGTTATACAAACATATGTTACTCAGGATAAAGAATAATTATACCTTTAATGGATCAAAGATGATGTCAAGTAATGGCAAGTCTTCTTCTGGTTCTTGAGATGCTATATTATTTTCTTGTTTCTTATGTTTTTTATTAGAGTGTTGATGCTGTGAGAGTTTTTTAGTAGGAATTGCTTCCTGAGATGAAATGACCTCAATTTTTTGCTTGTTAGGTATATATTCATTATTATTTTTTTTTTTTTGCAATTTATTATCAAATCAACCAATCAGAATTTCATAACGAAACACCCAAAAATTTAATTGGTCTAATGGATTTGATTTGCAGCGCAGATCAAAATTTACTTTAAATTATGGCAAAAAAATTTTTTTATTGATACCGTAAAGTCTGGAAAGATAGCACCCCCGAAAGATAGCTTTAAAACAATTGAGCGTCAATATAAAAAAATGTTACACATATGTAAAAAGGGGATGCTATCTTTCCAGACTTTACGGTATTTTCGGTGACAAATTTCAGATGTGATAAATATTAATCGACAAAAAAAAGGCAAACCACACGATTATGAAATATATTAGCAAGTTTTCTAATGTAAAATATATTCCTTAGAAGTAGTAATTGATTTTTGTTTTCCTCTGAAATTGTGTTTAGCACGCTAGGTGAGGAGAAGGTGGGAAAATGTTGTACGGCTAGAAAAATATCATTCCTGTATTAGCACAAAATATATACTTAATATGAATGCCTAGTTTTGAGAAACATGTAAACAATCAATGACTGGTTCATGAGAGTTTTTGCCCATTAAAAATTTTTACATAACAAAGATTGTTAGAAGTTATAATTTTTCTTGTGACATCATCGATTAGGGTGCGAGAGCAAAATAATTGATGACAATAAAATTAATTGAATGGATCAAAACTAAATAAACATTTACCGACGAATTGTTTAGGAGTTGATCGTTTTATATCTTTTTATTCATTTGATATGGGTTTATCAAGTCGAAACTTGATCTCAAACCAAAACTCGTTATTGGGTGCCATTATTTTATCAGTGAGGCCCAATTTATTCAGGAAAATAGATTGATTATAAAAATACATGACAAATAAAACTATTAATAAAATAAGAAAGAATGAAATATAGAAATTGATTGGTTCTGGTAATAAACATACATGATGACTAAACAGTTTCGATTTCGATAATCAGGTTTCAACATTTCAAATCGAACCTAAAATTTCGATTAATACTAAACAGATTTTTTGGAAATTTAATCTTTTGAAAAATAATGCACTTTTTTCCTCTATCTTTAATGAGATATTTTCGAACAAGGCAAATAAAGACTATGAGATACGGAAGAAGTATTTGATAATTTCAAAAAGAAAAATGTCGTTTTTTTTACAAGTTTCAATACGACTTTTAATGGTCTTCCAGACCTTTTTGATCTGGTAAATCAAAACTTCGAGTTGTAGAATATTATTTGTTGTAGTTTAAAGAATACTGGAACTAATCATAATTTAATTTAATTCCGAAAACTAGTGCATTTTTTTAAAAAAAGTTTTGCTTTCTATAACAAATAATAAATATTGTATAAAAATAAGCGACTTTCTCAATCCTTAACCAAATTCAATTGTAATTTTTTAATGACAAACTCACACGAACTAGCATTTTCAAACGATTTTGATTATTTACATATTAAAATTTTATTAGGAGAGCATTAGTAATAACAATACTTTCGAAACTTACATTTATCCGATACTTTTTAGCAGGTTAGAAATACAGACTGTATAAGAGAATTGAACGATTATTAATATTGTTTATTTTTCTTCTACTGTATAAAGGGAAAAACTGATATTTCATTCTTGATAAATTTAAATTAGATTTTAAGCCTCGTAAATAAACCAAACTGACCAGTATTTTTTGAGGACATGGCATAGATAAAATTTTAGTAGTCAAACAGACATAATATAATAAAAAATTTGGCGTGGTATTTTAAAATTTTTAACGGTATATATAAATAAAGTGAGTGATTTTTTGACATTTAATAAATAATAAAATGTACTCTTCAAATATGAATGATGATAAAGACAATATGATAACGGTATTATTAATTGGAAGCACAGGAAGTGGAAAATCAACTTTAGCAAATGTAATCAGCGGTTCTGATGATTATGATGAAAGCCATTGTTCAGCTTGTTTGACCAAAGACATCAATGTTCATAATTATCTAATTGATGGGAATGTATACAGAATAATTGATACTATAAGAATTGGACATACAAGAATTCCATCAAAAGAAGTAGTAAGCAAAATGGTTATGGCTGCTGAAGCCATAAATCAAGTTTTTTTTGTCGTAGGTGGAAGATTTACTGATCTGGAAATTGAATGTTTTGAAATATTGCAATCAACCGCTTTTGATAAAAATATTTTTGAGTATACTACTATTGTCAGGACAAATTTTTCTGATTTTGAAGACGATACCAAATGTGAAAAGGATTACCAAGATATGACTTCTGGAAATAATGACATTTCTGAATTTGTTAAATCATGTAAAAAGGTCATTCATGTAGATAATCCACCAATATCACGTCGTATTAGACAAGGTGCAGAAGAGACGAGAAGAATCAAGAAAAAAAAATATTAGCTTATTTAAGAACTTGCACAAGTGTCTATGATTTGAATGAAATGAATAAGCTACAATGAGAATTAGAATTTATATGTATTGTTTCATAAAATATCATATTATTAATCTATTATATATCACAAATTTTTAAAATAATTGCATCTACGTTCAGATTTTTTATTTTGTTATCATTTTTAATAAAAATTATATGTGAACAATCAATTTTCAATAATGATGAAATTGGAAAATTTCCTGGATGCTTCATCCCCTAACTTTTTTAAATGTAACCCAATACTTGTAACCAATCTTTAATTGTGCTATTTTTTTTAATCCCTATTAGTCGTATCGATACGATATAATGAACTATCATTTACGCCATTTACCATTTAAGATTGTTCCAAATAGAGATTTAAAAAACAAATAGAGACAATTTTCTTTATTTGACTAAACTTAAGTTTATCCTTAAATTAGTATTTGTAGTCAACAATATATATATACGCACATTGGTTTTTTAATTGTGGAAATAAAAAAAATGGCAAATAAGAAAGCCGAAAATGATGGCACGTTGCTAAACACATTTAAAGATGAATCATCTTCAAATACCAATAAAAAAACAAATAAGAAAACCAAAAACGAAGAAACTATAACAGTATTATTATTTGGAAGCAAAGGAAGTGGGAAAACGACTTTAGCTAATGTGATCAATAATATTAATAATATGGAAGCAATTGATACAATGGAGTTTGGTAATAGAAGGTTAACCCCTCAAGAAATATTATATAACTTTGCAGAAACTGCCGATGATATTAAAGGCGGATTTAACCAAATTTTATTTGTCACTAATGGAAGTTTTAGGGAAGAGGAAATGGAAGCTTATGATTTATTACAAGTTATTTTTGGTCGAGATATTGTTAATTTTACAACTATAGTTAGAACTAAATTTCCAGATTTTGAAGATGATACTGAGTGTGAACAAGATCGTTTAGATATGATTAAGGAAAATGACAAACTTTCTACAATAATTAAAGAATGTAAAAAGGTTATTCATGTAGATAATCCACCAATAACACGTCGTACTAAGGAAGGTGCAGAAGAAACCCGAAAAGAATCAAGAAAAAAAATATTAAACCACTTAAATACTTGTGGAAACATTTATTATCCACCAAATTTAGCTGGAATAAAAGAGTACACGACGAGTATAGAAAAATTAGAAAATGAGCTTGAAGATTTGAAAAGGCAAATTGTAGTAGTTTATAATCCATCAACTAGTAGCGATATCTCAGAAGAAAAAGAAGAGGAGTCCATTCGTATACAACTAAAAAAACCTTTTTCTTATATAGCTTATATAATGCGTATAATTTATATAATTCAGAATTTTTGTACTTTTTTTCATCATAAATCTAATAAATAAAAATTTTTTTGTTAAATAGGATTGTAGTTGAAAATATTTATACAGAGAATAATGATTATGGTTAGCTATTAATATTAAGCTAGACAAGTTTTATTTTAATCTTCGTGTCACGTGGTATATCCACGTGAAAATGAATGCCCACTATCTTTAGTCAATACTTTAGTCACGTCAATGACTAAAGCTAAAAGTTTTGTCATACATTATCCAGTAAAATGTGACAACAAACTCGTGTCAGACTGGTAGAGCTAAATTTAAGTTCATAAGACAAGATTTAAGAAAGAAGATAAAAATGAAATTCGAGATAATTTTAAGCACAACTCGTTTATCATTGCAAGTAGGATAGATATAAAATATGCATCGATATCTTCTCATACAGAAGACTACAAATGCACCTGAATCAGCAGTAAAGTTCATATTAAGATCAGCTAGTTTATGTCAATGCTGTGAGCCGGGTTTTAGGTTCTCTCTTGGATGTTGTCGAACATGAAGAGTAATTCGATTCAATTTGATTCATCAAAAGTTTTTACTCAAGTAATGATTTTTACTCAATTCAAGAGTTTTGACCTGTGTCAAGGTTTTTGCTTTCATTATTTTTGACTTAATGCTAGCGAATTTGATATAATAAACTTACAACTCTGATGACACATACGTACAAAAGATAATTATCAGAAATGTGGCAAAGCAATCACTTTACGGAATAATATCTGACTACTTTCATAGATAGAATTGATATTATCAATATTATCAATAGGTTATGGTAGTCAGTACACATTCAAGGTACCTCCAAACCACAATCTGATGTTGCATAAATTTGAATTTATAGTCATGTGAAAATCAATAAATAAGCTTTTCTATCGTTATTTTGTCATGTAATATTTTATGTACAAGGAAGGCAACTTTTGAAATTAACATTTAATAAAAAAATGGGTAAAATTGGATTTGTATTCTTCGTTAGACTGCCCGAGATAAAAGAAAATATAATTAATTATTGGATAAAACGTCCTTGTATTGTTATTACTTAATCTTAACAGTTAACGCCTAATAAAACCTAGTTTTTGAGAAATCAAAGCCGTTTAAAAATACTGATTTTTTGTATATTAAAAAATCCCACATAACAAAGATCGTCACAAATTTCCTTGAAATAATTGATAGGTCTATCATTTGAGACTAAATAAACTTTTACTAACGAATGGCTTAAGAGTTGATCTGATATGGGTTATTGAATCGAAATTTGTTCTTAAACCAAAACTTATTCTAAAGAGAACTGCTTTGAAAGCATGCAAATCCAGAAATATTGAATAATTGATGATAGTTTTATGAGCGAAACCCAAGTAAACAGATTGTTCATAGATTACATAACAAATATAATAAAATGAGAGTAAATAATGAAAATATATAATTGATTACATTCGGCTAAACATATAGATTAGTTTCGATTTTGATAATCAATTTAATATTAATATTAATATTAACATTTCGAATCGAGTCTAAAATTTTCGACTAATCCAAATTTTCTAAAAATTTACCTTTTAAAGAATAATGCACTTTTCTTTATCTATTCTTTACGAGATATGGAAGAAGTATTTGGGTAATTTTAAAAAGATAACAAATGTTTTATACAAGTTTCGATGCGAATTTCAGACCTTTTTGATCTGGTAAATCAAAACTTCGAGTTGTAGAATTATTGTTTAAAGTACACTGAAACTAATCATCATTGAATTTCGAAAACCTTTCTATAACAAATATTAAATATTATATAAAAATAAGTGACTTTCTCAATCCTTCACTGCAATTTTTTAATGGACAAAAACTCACACGAACCAGTATTTTCAAATTATTATGATTATTTGCATATTAAAATTTTATTAGGCGTTAAGTATTAGTAATAATATCTTCGAACCTTTCAAAGATCTTTACTTAAAATAACAAGTCACAAGATTTAATACTTTTTGGCAGGTTAGAAATACAGACTGATGCTATAAAAGAATTGAATAATCATTAATATTGTTTATTCTTTACAGAAACCTTCAATATCTAAAAGATGTATTAAAGACACTTTTAATATATATTTGTGATATAAAGAAGATATCTTCAAGACTTTGTTGAAGAAATTAATTAAAATAATAACTTTTTTAGATCTAAAAAATGTC